TGTTGTGCAGGGCCAGTGTTATGGGCGGGTGGCCTAGGCACGGACCCAGGACTCTGCCCTGGGTTTGATGCTCTGCTGTCACCGTGCTGAAATGCTTAGTGGTTTTGGAACGACGGGCCCTGCCTTTTCATTTTGCTCTGAGCCCTGCAAGGCGTGCAGCTGGGCCTGCTGGGGATAAAGCAATGACACCAACAAGCGTGGGTCATCTCATTCGGAACTGTAAATTAAAACCAGAGTAAGTTCAAGGGCAACAGATGCTTATGACTTAATGTATGTGAAGTGCTTGGAAACGTGCCTGCGTTCTAGTAACTGTTTCCTAAGCATTAGCTGTGAGTTTAACAAGAATTATAAGGGCATGTGCACAAGGAGGGTTCTCGCTTAAATCTCAGGAGGAAGGGGACAGACCAAGCCAGGCAGAGGTGAATATTTGTTTGGGGAGCAAATGTGTCAGCTATGGATGGAACTCAGGCTGGAAATCTAGGAGAGATAATAGTTGCTGGCAACCTGTAGCATACACATGCAAGGCCCTGGATTTTCCCCCAGGAGGTTGGGCCCTGCAGATCCCACTGCATCTGACTCTGGGGATGTCTTGGAAGAAACCTATGGCTGGGACTGTTGCCCCAGGCACCTGGCGATCAGGGAAGGAAGGCTGCAGGTTCTCCCTCCAAGCTCCCAGGGGCAGAGGGGCAGGAAGGTAGTTGGAAAAGGTGGAGCCAGAGCTGTGGCCCCACACTCTCCTCCTCGAGGCTCAGACCCCACAGTGTGTGTTTGTGCAACACCCTTCTCCATGTTCAGCCAGTTGGAGGCATCGCACACTCCTAAGAATGTGGCTGCAGGATTGCAGGAACAGGCTTCCAGATGACCAGGGCTGGGGCCTCACGTGCTATTTCCCCACTCCCTGAGGATGTCCCTTCTTTGCTCTTTGTCGCCTTGACAAATGGTGTCAAAGATTAACCCATCTTCCCATTTTGTGCTGTACTGGGACCTTAATAGTGAGTCGCATATTGTCCCGTGAGAGAGACAGACATTGTTCTGGTTGTAACTCAGAATAATAAACTATCTCTTCTCAGTTGAGCTTCCAGTAACAGGCATTTTATTAGAGCTTATGGTTTTGTGGCCAGGAACTCAGGCCCCCTCTTGGTTGGGCAATTCTTCCTTCCCATGTTATATCAATCAAGGTCACCCTGTGGAACTCAGTAAGCAGGTGGTCAGCCTGGGAAGACTAAAATGGCCTTGATCATATGATTGCTGTCTCCATGGTGATGGCCTCAGCTGGCCAGAGCACTTGCAGATGGTCTCTCCAGCATGGTGGTCTCAGCATAGCCCCATTTCTTATAGAGTAGCTCCCAGAATTTTTCAAGAAAGGAAGGGGAAGCTACCAGTCCTATAAGGCCAGAGATTGGCATACTATCACTCACTCCCACATTATTCTATTGGTCAAAGAAATCATAGAGCCTGCCCAGGTTCAGGGGGAAAAGACACAAACCCCACCTCTCAATGCCAAAGAATTTGGGGCCAACTTGAATCTGCCCTAAACAAGAAAGCAGAGAAGTAATGTTCACTGTTGCCAGGGATGTGCCAGAGGATGTATTTAGACAGGGGAGGAGGGCACAGTCTGTGCCTCCTTTCTGGGACTGTTCAGTCAATAGTTTGGAATAAATGAATGAAATGAGGAATGACCCTCCGTTATTAAGATTTAGCTCTAAGATGTCCCCCCCAGAGTGTGTAGAAGGGGACTGAATCATGGGAGTGTTCTGCTTGTCGGTGGATTAATTCATTGATCATTAATTCATTGCTAGTTCATTGGTTGACTGTGCTGTAGGAGGTGGGGCTCTCAAGAACCGAGTCAAATTTCCCCATAAGGTCCACGTTGGACCTCACCGCTGAATTTGACTCGGTTCTCGTCCAATTAGGTCTGCAACCAGAATTGTGGAAAGAATCAAGTTGGTAATGAACGAGGTACCGCAGTAAATCTCTCCTCTTTGAAGTTGTGGGTATGGGGTATTTTGTCCCAGTGCCGGGAAAGTGATTAAGACACTCCCTGAGCCAAAAGTAAGGGACTTTTTCATCCAAACCTAACATCAAGCTTAATGGATCTTGGCTCTTTCCTGAGAAGTTCTTCAGAAATCATCTATTTCAAGCTGCTGGAACTGTTAGCAATTCTTCGGTGGCAGTACATTGATAATGTGCAGGGACCACGTCTATGGAATTTCAAAACATTTCTGACCCCAAGATAAAACCTTACCCCTCTTAAGCAGTTGCTTCTCTCTTCTCTTCCCTCAGCCTCCATCTCCTGACAACCACTAGTCTGCTGTCTCCTCGAATTTACCTTCTCTAGTTCACGTAAATAGTTAGGTAACACCTGGTGGTTTATTTCCGGCTCGTTCACCCAGCACAATTTGTTTTTGTGGTGCTGGGGATTATTGCTATGCTATGGCCTCACGTGTGCTGGGCAAGCCTCTAACACTGAGCTGTATCCCCAGCTGCTATCATAACATTTTAAAGGTTCCTGCATGTAGTATTATGTGTTAGTACTTTATTCCTTTTCGTTGCTGAGTAGCATTTCACTGCATGGACATAGCACAGGGTGTTTATGTCCATTCATCTGTGGATGGACATTTGGCTAGTCTTACCTTTTGGCTCTTGTGAGTAGTGCTGCTAGGAATGCTGCTAGTGTGTATTAATATTTGTTAGAAGATCTGACTTATTTATGTATGTATGTATGTATGTATTTATTTATGTGTTTTGAGATAGGGTTTCTCTGTGTAACCCAGGCTGGCCTTGAACTTGTAGTGATCCTCCTGCTTCAGCCTCCCAAGACCTGGGATTATAGGCTTGCTGTCGTCCCAGACCAGCTGAATTTTTAAAAATAATTCATAGGAGCAGAATTTGTGGGTCACATAATAATTGGTCTTTAAGACTTAAAAAATGGCTTTTGTCTTAGGGTCTCTAGGCTTGAGTATAGTACATTTTTTTTTTAAAGAAAAGAAGGAAAAGAAGCAGGGAAAAGGAGGGAATCCCCTCGGTTGTTCTGCAGACCTCATTGCCCTTGTCTCTGCCAATGCTGGGTCATGGCGAAGGGCAGGGCTTTGGGTCTAAGGCACAAGTCTGAGGGGTGTGGAAATATTAAGGATGCGCATAGGTGGTCTTGGTGGCCAGAAAGAGGTAGCATAGGTGATGTCAGAGTGGAGAGGTTTAGCTTGGTTTTTTGGGAAATACCGGGGATTGAACTCATGACCTTGCACTTGCGAGGCAGGTGCGGTGAGCTAAATCCCTAGCCCTGGGTTTTTTTTTTTTTTTAAAATATATAAATAATCTCACTAAATTGCTCAGGTTGGCTTGACTTCCAACTTTTTATCCTCCTGCCTCAGCTTCCCGAGTGACTGGGATTACAGGCTGTGCCACCATGCCCAGCTGGGGTGCAAGTAAGCATTGTCACATTTCAGCCCCACGGCTGGAGGAATGGGCCCTTATCCTACCAGACCACAGTTCCCCTCTGCCCTGCCTGTCCGACACAGGAGGGTGTGCAGGTGCTCCCTAAACCTGCAGTCTCCCTCCCTCCCCGCCAGCAGGAGCCCAGCACTTTTTCTGTCACTGCCCTTGTCATTCTAGACTCTAGAGCTCCATAATTTAAAAAAAAATTGAAAATTTCAAGCTGAGAGGCTGAGGCAGAAGGATCACCAGTTTGAGCCTTGGTGACTTAGTGACTTTGTAAGACCCTGTCTGATGTTAAGAAGAATAAAAGAAGACTGGGGATGTAGTTCAGTGTAAGGTCCTGGGTTCAATCTCCAGTATTGAAAAAAAAAAAAAAGAATAGTAAAATAAACACCAAGATACTCATCTATGATTAATAGGTTGCTGCTTTTGCTTATACTTGATGTACCTACAAATAAGTTCTTCTTTTCCTCTGAGTCATTTGAAGAATGCAAACATCATGTCCCTTCATTACAAATACTGCAGTGTGCGTCTCTTAAGAACGTTCTTCCACATGCCTGTAATTCCTTTATTTTACAAAGCACACGAACAGTTCCCCGTAAGCCCCTAGGCAATGCTAAGACTTCCTTATTTTATCTCCCTAATGTGTTCGTTTATTTGAAGTGAGATCCAGTCAGACACTGTGTATGGAATTTGCTCGGCCCCTTTGGTTTCTTCTCATGTAGACTTTTACCCCAGCACCCCAACCTCATCTTTTTCCTGTGACAATGACTTTTTGAAGACACCAGATCAGGCACCTTGCAGAAATGTGTGGGTACCAGTTTGCTCCATAATTTCCTTTGTGGTGTGGTTTAATTTGTTCCTCTATTAACTGTATTTCCTGTAACCTGGAAATTAGGTCCAGACGTTTGATTAGACTCAGGTTAAATGTTTTTGGCCAGAATCCTTGGCTTTATAAACTACATCAGGAGACACGCTGGGTCAGGGGCTCCTTATTAGTGACGCTAAATTGAATCATTTTATGAGGCGGTAATTGCTGGCTCTGTCCAATTTATGATGACCCAGGGTGACACTGCGTGACAGTGTGAACAGTCCCACCCACTGGTCGTTAATTATTCTATGGGGGATCAGAGGCAAAAGGGTGATTTCCGGGCGCTGCCATCCCTTCTACGTGAGCTAGCTGCTGTCCTTTAGCAAAGGATGGCGTCCTCGTTACCCAGCAACAAGTATGGGTCATTCCTCTTAATTACAAATTGTTAGGGAGGGAGGTGGTATCCTGCTCTCCCCCAGCAGTGACAAATGACTTCTCTTGAGTGTCGGTGTGGGCAGGTGGGCTTTTTATTCATTCATTCATGGCTTACATCAACTGGAATTAGCTGCATGACCTTGGACCAGTGGCCCTTACCTCTCTGGGCTTCATGTTATTTACCTGCTCCACGACTGGATGATCGTGAAGCGTTTTTCCAGCACTCGAGCCTTGGGGCCTGGGTGACAGTCGCCTTCTCTCTGGGTTCCGTGTCCCCGTGGCTGGGTCGGGCCTGATCACACCACTCCCTTCTTGGCAGGTTTGTGGACTTCCACGCGGCCGCGTCCACCTGCTCACCCTCCCGCGCATCCCTGCTCACCGGCCGGCTGGGCCTTCGCAATGGAGTCACGCACAACTTCGAAGTCAGCTCGCTGGGGGGCCTCCCGCTCTCCGAAAGCACCTTGGCTGAGGTGCTGCAGCAGTCTGGCTATGTCACCGGCATCATAGGTAACACGGCACCTCCCGTCGCAGCCTTTACCTGGGTGCTGCTCTGCAGCGCCCCAGCAAGGTGCCACCCTCTGTGCCCTCTCTGCTTTCTTGTCCATTTCTTGCTGAATGAGGCAGGAATGCTTGCAGCTGTTATAACTGAAAAGAGCCTGCTGTGGGTTGCACACCAGGAATCTCGGCCCAAGCATCAGGCCAGCCTGGACAACTCAGTGAGACTCTGAGTGCAAATAAATCGAAAAGGGGGCTGGTGAGGATGTAGTTCAGCGTTAGTGCACATGCGTGGGAGACTCTGGGTTCATTCCCCAGTACCTCCCCAAAAGGAGTCAAAACGTATGGAGTGATTCCATACCTCCGTAACAACAACCTGTGCTGGAAGCCGTTGCTTTCATCAGCTGCATTGCTCAAAGTGCTTTGGGAGCCACATGCTTCCTCTCCTGTCTGCCACCCTTAGGATGTTGGCCATTGTCCACTGCCTCTTACCTCGTGGCTATGAGATAGCAGCTTCAGTACCCTGTACTCCTGGAACTTGGAAGGAGAGAGGGGAGGTGGTTGCGCTTTAATCAAGAATGGACTTGTCCTTTTTTTTTAATTTTTTTTTTTATCAAGAACGCAAATCTTTTCCCAGATTCTCTAGCACCCGCCAGAACTGCACTTAAAGCTGGGTCATAGGCCACTGGGCTGCATGGAAGGTAGGAGCCCGGAGGCAGGATTAGAATGCCTGGCTTGGCCTTGGGTGCCACAGCCCTCTACTCCCGAGAGCAAAGCCGAGGTTCTGCAGGCATCGTAAGTGGGGATGTGGGCAAGGGCAGCAGGACAGCAGCACTGGCCTCCGTGTCCAGTGACTGCCTTTTCTTTTAAATACCATCGAGGCACCTTGGATTCTGTATTTATTATGCGCCAGGCCCTGGGATAAGTATTTGCCATCAGAGTCTGAGGAGGCCTGGGAGATTATTATTCACCCAGCATATAGGCGAGAGCGGAGTTTTGGACCATGAAGGGACCTGCTCAGTGTCTCCTGGCCCCAGCCCAGGAGGCCAGGTCTGACATGTTTCCAGCTACCGCCTGGCCCTTGGGTTTTGCTTCCCACCATCTCCCTGCAGGTGCCGAGACACCCCAGATGTCCCAGCGGCATCCCCAAGCTGCCTGTGTTCCTTGGTCTGACTGTCAAAAAGCTGTGTCCCCTGGGATTCCTGCCTCCCTCCACCGTGGTGAAATGGCAACAACAGTTGACAGCAAGAGTCCCCGGGGCCATAGCCCTGGTTCCCGGAGTCTCCTGTGTTAACCTGTAAGAGGTTACTCTACCGAGACCACGGGCTGGTGCCTCTGGTGTTGGTCCAGCCTCCTTTTCAGGGTTCAAGAGCCCGACATCTTGCCAGATGTATATGACATGCATGTAATCCCAGCACTCTGGGTGTCTGAGGCAGGAAGATTGCAAGTTTGAACCCAGCCTGGCCAAATTGGTGTCTTAGCAAGACCTTGTCTCCAAAGAATAAAAAAAAGGATGGGCATGTATCTCAGTGCACAGACCCTGCCTATAATACCTGGTACCAGAACGCAAGCAAACAAACAAATCAACAAGCAAGCTTGACAGCCTTGCAGAAGAGCTCACACTGGAGAGAAATGTTCCTTGTCCCAGAAGGACAAGCCACAAGAAAACAGCAGGAAGGACCATTCAGGTCCAATCTCCTCTCGTTCCAATCCTTTTCTCCCCGTATCCTGAGGCATAATTATGTTAACAGCAGGAACACTAAGACACCAAGGTCCCTGGGGGGGGGGGCTGTCCTTCCTAGACTCCTTACCTGCATTCATTTACCTCAAAGCCCAGTGGGATCCCAGGAAGCCTGGCTGTGACTCCTGCTTGGGCCCCAGACACCCAGTGAGGGGCTGATTGCAGGGATTAGCTACCCTCCCCAGCCCTCACTAGGGCTGTTGCGTGTCTGCAACCACATACACATGTTGAAATTATAAACTAAAGCACATACATAAGGAAAATTTATTTTTTTTCCTCATTGAGTTTATTGGTACATTTTAGGTATACATTCATGATTGGGATCTTGTACCTTTATAGGACAGGTCTTGGTTCTCATTTTTTCCTCTTATCCCTGCCCTCCCTTCACCCCTCCTCCCCTCATAAGGAAAATTTAAAAGGAATGTTGAGTCCGTTTACGCCTCTGACACTTTCTTTTTTTTTTTTTTTTTCTTCAGTAATTTTGCTTCTAATGTTGGTCAGTATTTCTGTGTTCCTGCCTACTTGTGCACATACTGTCTGGCCCTGCTTTTTCTCCCTTCCCATTATGCTGTCTTTCCATGTAATTTTGCATGATTTTTGTATATTTACTGCAATTGTTGTAATTTTAAGCAGTGAATCTTAGTTTTAATTTACTCTTACATTTTCATGCAATAATTGATCTGAGCATTCGATAATAACACTTAATCCATTTCCCTCAATTTTTTGTTAAGAATACTTTAGAAATTCAGGGAACAGGTGTAAGAAGGGGATAATGGAGTCTACAGATGTTTTATGCAGATTCACTGATTGTTAAGTATTTTTGCTGCCTGCATTTGTCTTTTTTTTTCTTCTCTTTTTTTTTTTTTTAGCACCAGGGATGAAATCAGGGCTTTCCACTGAACTACATCTCCCCTCCCCTTTCAAACAGGGTCTCACTGGGTTGCCCAAGCTGGCCTCCAACTTCTGATCCTCCTGCCTCAGCCTCGTGTTTAGCTGGGCTTGCAGGCCTGCACCACCACACCCAATGGTGTTTGTTTTTAAACATAGTTGGGTACTATTTATCGAGGCCACATCAAAGGATTTCCTTAGCCACACTCCTGGGCTGCCCATGAACGTCTCTCCTTCCTGTTTGTCAAATGCCACCACTGTTCAGATCTTTGCATCACGTTTGTTTCTTTGCCCTCTTCCCCTGGGAGCCATTTCCCTGGGGTCCACTCCTCAGCACAAAGTGAACCGAGCAGAAGTTCCAAGGTTGTCGGAGTTTGGTCACACACTGCCCAATTATTCCCCAGACCGAATGAACTTACAGACCAAGGAGCAGCAGGTGGCTTTGTGGCCGTTTGCCACCCAGTGGGTGTCTCAGCACTGGAACTGCAGGGAGAAGGCCGTGTCTCCCCGGCCTCTGCAGCTGCTGACATTGCTTAGAGAGGAAGATGATGAAACGAAGCGGGAGACTGTGGTGTGGCGCACCTGCATCCTGGGCCAGCTGCACCTTGCAGGAGTGCATGGGCTATGTGGGGTGCTATGGCTGCTGAGCCCACGTCGAGGGCAGAGCTCAGCCAGTTGGCATCCCTGGGCTCCTGGGGACAGCGTGTGCTCCCCTGTCTCTGTGGCTTCCTGCGTGGGCCCGAGTCATCCTTGCTTGCATTCTGTCTCCCTGCAGACTCCTCTGGGCCCACCGAGCGAGGTGCGGCTTCCTTGCAGCACCAGCTGTTTCTCTTTACTTGTCCTCGGTGGAGGGTGAAGCCCACAGTGACTTGAGCATGTAATCAGCTCCTGGGAGGTCCTGAGGGTTTCCAGGGGGATTCCGCCCAACATATCTCTGTTTTGTTTTTCCACAGGCAAATGGCATCTCGGGCACCATGGCTCTTATCACCCCAACTTCCGTGGTAAGAGTTCTATAGGGGCCTTGTTACGTGGGCAACAGAAAGGGACCCCCTTTGAGCCACCCCAGCCCCAGAGAGATGGCCCTTTGTGCACAGGGTCCCTGGGGTACAACTTGGGGTGCCAGAGTGCCCCTCTCACTGACCTCTTCCTTGCTGCCCGGCTGTCGAGGTCCCTTCCAGTCCCTTGTCATCCCCTAGTTCTTTACACCTTAGGGACATTTGGCCCCACGAGGTCGCAGCACAACTCACCTGGAAAGAAGTCAGCTCTGACGGCTTTGCTAAAAGAGGGCTCCAGCCATGGACCCAACAGGGCTGCTGCCCCTCGGCCTCTGCCTGCGGTGGCAGGCTTCCTCAGACCTCTCGCTCTCGGCCTGGGAGAGGAGGCCAAGGTCCAGCTGCCAGAGCTAATTCTCTGGAAGTAATTTGCTGACTGACAGTTTCCCCAAGTATCTTATTCACCAAAACACTAACGTGTGTTCAAAGCTGTAGTTGAACTTTTCCATTTCATATAGGAGCCTGTCCTGGGAGTTTACTATAATCTGCTCTGCTTTCATGGCTTTTCACCTTGCCCTGGTCTTACGACTGAATCCCTTTTATCTCCTGCCATTTTATAAACAAATAGGTGGCCCTTTCCTTTACTGTGGTTTTCTGACTATTTTGCAGATTTCTCCTTTCCCCTGCCCTATCTCTCCCCATCTTTGAGGAAAGGGGCTGCATTGCCCTGCCCCAGAAGTGGCAGAAGGCATGTATCTCCATGATCTTCCACATGTGCTATTTATTTATTTTTGAGACAGCTTCTTGTTCTTTAGTTCAGCCTGGCCTCGAACTCCACATTTTCCTGCCTCAGCCTCCTAAGTGCTAGGGCTACAAGCATGCACCACTACTCTCAACCCCAAGTGTTTTTAGAAGTGGCAGATGGAGGAAGTAAAGACCTGACTTCTCCACTAACTGAAACTTACTCCAGAGCTTACTTTTCCTTCTTTGGTCTTTAGTTTTCACAATTGACACCTTGAGTGCCTTATTTCTGGAGTCATGTGCTGAAGAAGGGTACCTCTTGCTGAATGGTGTCCCGATAGATTTGTGATGGCTGCCTTGGTAGTGGGAACTGGCAAGAGACAGCACCTCCTGCGTGTTCACTCTTCCTGGATCAGACAGTCCCACAATGCCTTGAGGCTTGGGCATGTTTGATTCCTACCCCTCACTCCCATTCCCTCTGGGACCCTGTCCATGTACGGTGTCCTGTTCCCTCCTTCCCCAGGGAGCCCTTCCAGAGATCACGTGAGACACAGTCACAGTGCTTGTCTGCATCCAGTCTCCTCTACCTGTAGTTGTTTCTCAGACCAGGGCTCCAGGGAACACAACTCTGGGTCTGAGGACACCTGTGGTCTAGACCAGGGGTTGGTAGAGATCTGTGGGCCAAAGGCATTAAGCTGTCTTATTGATTTGTTTGTTTTTGCTGCACTGGGGATTGAACTCAAGGCCTTCACACTGAGCTGCTTTCCCAGACCTCTTCTGATGCTTTTAATATTTGAGTCAAAATCTTGCTAAATCACTAAGTTGCCAGACTGGGCTTGAGCTTGCAATCCTCCTGCCTTGGCCTTGTAGAGTACTGGACGTATAGGCATGCACTATCATGCCGTGAGCCACCTGTTTCTGTAAATAAACTTTTATTAGAAAATAGCCATGCTCATACACGTACCCATTTTCTATAGGTGATGTGTGCTATAGTAGCAGAGTTGAGAAGCCCCAGTAAAAACTGTCTGGACCATAAAGGCTGAAATACTTGCTATCTGGCTGTGGTCTAGATTCATTCTGACACCAAATGCAGTAACAGGTCGGACTATGTCATTACCTATGGCATACCCAAATCTATTTGTACAAACCAGGTTAGCAAGGAGCTTTCCATTTTCTTTCCAGTATTGGTGACTTTACTACACCATCTGTTACATTAATGAGCATCTAGTACCCCAACCCAAAGAGCAGACATTACTGGAGAAGACCTGTGTCACCATGCTGATAGGAAGTCCCCAGGGTGTGCCAGGAATACGAAAGGGTTGGAGGTGAGGGCAGCAGGTTGTGGCAAGGAGGAAGGTTCTGTAGGAAACTGAATGGACTGGGCAGTGCTGATACAGCTCCTCTGGTGAGAGACACAGAGCATGGAATTGAGGCAGAGCCACCTTCCAGAGATGAGAGGCATGCGGAAACCAGAGCTCACTCTGCTCCTGAGGGAAATGTGCTCAGAGCAGGAGAGAGGCACCGAGGGGTGGGAGATGAGGCTGAAAAGGCAGCTGTCCTCATCTGCAGGGCCTGGAGCTGGGGGCTGGGGGTAGAGAACCTTCTTTGGGAGATTTGAATTCTGTCTGCCTTGAGGGAGAGGAGGGCTGAAACTCTCTTCTGGATGACCGAGGAAGCTCCTTTCTGCAGAAGTTGTGAATGAATTCTGGTTGCCTCTGTGACTAAATCCTTTAAAGAAAAGCTTGTGTTGGGGAAGAGACAGACGAGGAGGATGTCGGAAACCCAAGGAATTCAGATCCCAGCCCTCGCGCGCTTCCCCTCTCCCCTCCACTCCACCACTCCAAGCTCAAATCCCGCTTGCCTTCCAGGTCCCACCGATCCTTACTGTTACACGGTAGGTGTTCAGTAATCCTCTCCATTTCTTCCCAATCTGGGTCACTTCTAATCACAAGATATTGTTCAGATCGAGTCTTACAGCCAGAACCCAGAAACGTGATTTTCTTCTCACACTTCAAAGGGATATTAATCAAATCCTCTGTTAATTACATCCTCCAGAGAACTGCAGTATTAGATCATGGGAAATTAAATTTTTGTCATAGGTGGAAGAAGGCAGGCCCATGAGCAGTGGCCACTTGGGTTGTTAAACAGTCGCTTCTTTTCCAGGTTTCGATTACTACTTTGGGATCCCGTACAGCCATGACATGGGCTGTACTGACACCCCAGGCTACAACCACCCTCCCTGCCCAGCGTGCCCACCAGCGGGTGGCCCACTGAGGTAAATCTGTCGGAGGCATTGGCCATGGGCCCCAGGACAGGAGTACTGCTAAGGCTGTGGTCTGTCCGCAGGAAGTGGGAGATACAGATATAGGGGACAGTTAAGACAGTGAACAAGACAGTGTCGTCCAGTATAGTTGTACACGTGTTATTTGCACTCTGATGCAAAGTCGAGAGCTAAACATTGTTTCTGTTGGAATTTTCCAGGGTCCTCGAATTGTTCAGCCCTTACCTGGCCCAGATCCCGAACAGCAGTGTTCCTTTTGGGGTCCTCTCCTCCAAGAAAGACAGCATTTTGACATTGGGACAGCATGCAGGGACTAAATAGGTTGTTTTCAAAACATTCAATGAAATGAGAAAATGCTCACTTAACAGTAAGTGAAACAGCAGGGAGCAAGTCATCGGTGGGCTCTTCGGAGCTGTGTGTACTGTGTCCATATCTTCAAAGCATTAGCAAGACAGGCTCCAAGGAGATGTGTGCCCGAATGCTAACAAACGTTCACTGCGGTTCTGGGACTAAGGGGCTTTCATTTTCTTCTTACTGTATTTCCTGAATGTTCTGCAAAGGGCTTGCATTGGAATTGTGATCAGAAGAAGGCAATAAGATTGATGTAGTTAATAAAACAGCACAGAGCCTGCGCTTATTTCTAAGGCCACAGCTATGTGGGCTGCTTGGGGAAATGGGAGTCCGAGGTGGCTCATTAAGAACTCAGTAGTTGTACAGTAATGGCAGTTTATGGAGAAATTCTTACATTCTAGGCCATCCCTACACTTATCTGTAACCCACATGACTGACCACAGTGTGAAGCAGGTATGTACATGATTTTACCTGTAAGAAAGTTGACTGTGCCCGGGTCGCATTGGAGCTAGGAATCCACACTCCAGTCTCCTCTGCACTTGCTTCTCAAAGTGTGGCCATTGGGCCAGCATCGTGGATATGACTGAGGGTCCTTAGATGCAGAAATTCAGACCCTACCCTAGACCTGCATTTTGGATGTCCAGATGATGTGTGCACATTAGTGTGAGAAGCAAGGTGTCCGGTGACCTTGCTGCCCTCCTGACCAAGTGAAATCATACCCTGCTATTTCACGGTAGGATTCATGCCCCCACCGCCCCATTTTTTGGTGCTAGAGATTGAAAAGCTAGTCTCTGTTATCTATGTTAAAATCACATAGAGTAAAAACCAGGCATGGTGGAGCACGTCTGCAATCTCAGCATTCAGGAGGATGAGGCAGGAGGATACTCGTGAGTTCAAGGCCAGCCTGTGCTACATAGTGAGTTCAAGGCCATCCTGCATTACAAAGCAAGACTGTCTCAAAAAAAAAAATCAAATAAAAAAAGATTGGCTTGCGAGGAGAGAGATGAAGAGACTATACATGATGGTGGAATTGCAGTGAGATAGTAAAAAGCTGAAAACACAAATCTGGATTTAGCATCATGATGCCCAGCATGGTGATAACATTTTTTGTTTCTTTTTAAAAATGTCATCCTTGGCAATTATTTGCCCCTCTGACCTTATCTCATAAACATCTATAGTGGGATGTGTGCACCTGTAGGTGTAACAGGGAATTTCAGATACTTCGCAGTCCTTTCTCCGTGGCGGAGGGCGTTTTATCTTAATTGTCCTGTTAGGACATACCTGAGATGATCAACAAGTATGGCGGATACTTTAGAAACTACTACAGTAAAAGACACATGACGCTCAAAATGTTCCCCTTCCCTCTGCACCCTCTTTTCGTTCTGGCCACTTTCTGAAGCACTTCTGGGAAGTTCTCTTTAGTGTCTTTAGTTGTGTTTTTGTGGCTGCCTCAGTGCCCGGAATTGATTCCAAGTGTTTGCCTATCACGGCCATGTTGATTTTGGGGAAGAAGCCAGCAGTTGCACGGTGCCAGATGCAGTGCACGCGGCAGACGGGGGACACATCCAACGCTTACCCGAGCCTGCCTTTCTGTTGGACGGCACCCTGAAGAAACATGCGCTGTACTTTTTTTTTTTTTTAATCGTACCTCCTGAGGACCTGAGAGAGGCCTCCAGGAACTGCTTCAGAAAATGGCAAGAATTGCTGGGTTCAGTGTGTTTGAAGTGAGGGTGAGTATTCTGAGGGGGGAGTTAAGTGGCAGTGTGTCTTTTACTGTAATAAACGCTTTCGATTTAAAAGTTCACCGTGTATCTCAGTCACACCGAAGTAACACCGCCTGCCTGAAAGGCTGCCCACGACCTGCCGCCTCTCTTCACCATTCTCGTGCTGTCACCTTGTCCTCTGGCGACCAGCGCAGGGAGATTATTTACTAAAGTGCTAGTGTGCCGAGCAGCGTGCAAAGCACTGACCGTCTGTTAGCTTCCTTTGTCCTGCGGGCAGCCCCTGGCTACAGAAGGAAAACTTGGGCTCGGAGCGTTTATGTCCCTCCTGCAAGATCATGACCGGTACCTCGGCCCCACTGAGGGGCAGCCACGTGTCAGATCCAGTCAGTCTTAACACCAAGGGCTGAGTTTGTTTTTGCTAGTTGTTTGGCTCGACTTCTACTTTTTTCCCCATTAATCTCCAGATATCTCCACACACGGTTCAAAATTTAAAATTTCCCAGGCTGTCCTAGATATTCCATCCTGTTGTCAGACTTTGTATCAGCTGCAGTCCTGATTGTGGACTCAGGAAAGAACCAAGTCTTGCCAACTTTGGCAGGAGGCTGTCGACCAGGTGGACAGCAGAGAAAGCCAGCGAAGGGGCTGCTGCTTGGCCCTGAGGCTCTACTGGAAATAAGCCAGCCGCTGCATGCCTCAGTGTATCTCCCTGGAGAATGGGGGTAGTGATACAGTTCCCAGCTGGTAACGAGCCTCAGTGAGCTTTCCAGGGTGGCTTGTCCAAGGGTAATAAACATCTATTCAAACACTTTGAAGGCATGACTGACTGGCAAAATCCTTTGGAGCCAGGCTGCTAAGGCTTTTACATTTACATGCGTTGCTGCATCGAAGCCTTCTGTTCTATTCCACGATTGTATAGGTGCCGGAAATGAATGTGCCACTCTCTGTGGTTTTCTACAGGAAACACGAGAGGGACTGTTACGTGGACGTGGCCCTTCCTCTCTATGAAAACCTCCGCATCGTGGAGCAGCCTGTGAACCTGAGCAGCCTTGCAGGGAAGTATGCTGAGAAGGTAGCGCAGTTCATCCAGCAGGCAAGGTGAGGGGGCCCTGCGGCTTCCCACCCTCCACCCACACTAGCCTTGGCCCCTTCAAGATCATGGCAGAGTCTGGTTGCTCCACAAAGAAGGACACATGCCTATCTCCTGTAAATAAAGCTGGAAACCAGCCCCCTTCCCTGCCCCCTGTCTGTAGCCCTTGGTTAGAAGTTCCCCAGGCATGTGCCTGATGTCCCCAGGGACTTACCATGTCCTGCTTTGAAAGTGCCCCAGAGTCATAATCATTCTGTCCTCTCCCACTAGAAAATAAGCTCCTTGAGGGCAGGGCCTGCCTACTATTGGGGCACTCAAGGCATTTGTTGAATTTGCTAGATGACAGGGCATATTAGGTTCCTTTTGCTTCTATAACAAATAGTCACTGATTCAGTGGCTAAAACAACAGAAATCCATTCTCCTATAGGTCTGGAGGGCAGATGTCCAAATTGAGCTTTAGGAGGTTAAAAATCAAGATGTTAGTAGGTTTTCTTTCTTTCTGGAGTCTGCCATGCAGAATTGTTCCTTGCCTTTTCTAGCTTCTGGTGGCAGTTGGGATTGTTTGGATTATGGCCACACCAGTCTAACTTCTGCTTTTCCTTTTCCCTTGCTATTTCCACATCCATAGTATAATTCTCGCCCGTTGCCATTGTCTTCGTTGTGTTCCTCCTCCTCACCGCCCCCTTTCCTAGGATGCTGGCCTCAAACTGGAAATGCTGCCTCAGCGTCCCAAACAGCTGGGATTATTAATGTGCACTGTGGTGCTTGGTTTCCTTCTGCATCTTTAAGAACACCTGTGATTGTTAGGGTGTGATGTGATAGGGTTAATCAGGATAATTCAAGATAATCGCCTTATCGTAGTATTCTTAACATAATTATACCTGTGCAGCTTCATTTTTCATGTAAACAAAGATGCCCAGATTCCAGGACTTAGGTTTTTTTGGGGCCATTATTCAGTCTACCACCTCTACCACACCACCCGCTTTACCACACAAGGGTCACATATCCAAGCATCTTAAAGAGAGAAGCAGGCCGAGTGTGAGGTGCTAAGGAGTACTGGGTCCACGAGTGAACTTGTAAGCATCCCCCCATCTAGGTGGCTGCGGCCTAGCCCCAGCTACTTGTTTCTTCTTGCTGGGAATGTGAGCCTGGAATGTCAGATATTTTCATATTCCAAGAGAGACTGGATACCTGGCTCTTATGTGAGATCTCCTGATCTTTAAATGTCGAGAAACTACTAATTAAAAATTTAAAAAGCAAAAAAAACCAAAAAAAACCCCCCAAAAAAACAAAAAACCCAAACCGAAAAACAAAACAAAAACACCCCAAACATCCCCACGTGCCTCTAACCAGTCCTGGGGTGTCAGAGCTGCTGCTTCACAGCCTCGTCAGGACAGAGCAGAGAGGGACCCAGTGTGTGCTCCTCTGATCCTGCTCCCAAGATTGTGAGTTCCCCAAGGGCGGTAGAATGGTTTTGTTAGGCCCATAACCCTGGCCTACATGAACAGGAACAGTTGTGCTGCGTGGCTGTCTACCTGTGCAGAATTAAGAAAGGACTCCACTTGTGAATAAGGGATCTGACCAGCTCCTCGAACGGTCAACAGTGCCTCCCTCCGTGCTTGACCAGGCTGTGTTTTTGTAGAGGGTCCAGCAAGGAAGAGAGGCAGCAATGTGGGAAACCTGGTGAGCCTGTGTTCTTGACAAAAAAACCCACTCCTTATAGTCTTAATCCCGGGGCAGCCCCCAAGGGCTTTTGAGGTTGCATCTGAATGGTTCCTTAGGACTTTTTTGGTTTGTTTTTTTGTCAGTTTTTCTCAGTTTGTGGGTATGAGAAGGCAGAGCTTCTTCTCCCATCTAGTGGGCTGAAAATCTCCCAGCTCTGAGCTCTGAGGCACATTCAGGTTCTCATGCCCCAGGGCAGGAGGATGCTGCAGGGCTGGTGGGGACAGCCTCCTCCTGCTTTCTCTGTGCCTCAGAGAACACAAGCTTCCGAGGGGAGGGCTGGAGGCTGAGTAGGGACTGGGGACTGTGGAATGCCTGCTCCGCAGGGGATCTGGTGTGTGAATCAGGTGAGACAAATCAATAAACATTCTACGTGGCAAATGAAAAAGGCAAAGAGATAACCTTATTAGTGAAGTAAAAGTCACGGATCCTGTTGGCTTTTCACTTGACGGAGCATAGTATTCAGGCACGCAGATCTCTTCCGGAATGGATGACAGTTCACTGGTGACTTTCTCAGCTTCGGCAGAAAAGGCCTGCGCTCCTTCCTCCTCCAGGCCCCGCTGCAACCTTGAGCCCCTCCTTCCACTTGGGCCTGTTTGCCAAAACTCCCAGGTCTTTCTGGAGTGTGGCTTCCTACTCTTCCTGGACAAGCAAGCTCCCCCTCCCCCGGACTTCCTGGAAAGTTTTTATATGGGCCTTTGCTTGAGTTTTCACCTTTAATCTAGCAATGCTTCTAAAAGCAGTGCTTCCAAAACGCCCCCTGAAGTGGGGTTTTAAGGCAGTGTTGGTGGCTTTTGAGCTGAGTTCAAGATTCGATCAGGTGTACCTGGGGGTGGAAAGCCAGGGATGCTGCTGTGGAAAGCAGCAGTGTGTCCGGGCGCTGGAAGGCAGAAAGGGGCGGGGGGCCTGGCAAGCTAATGGAGAGGAAGCATCGTGGAGGGGTAGGAGGGCCAGAGTGGAGGAGACCCCGTGGCAAGGCCATGGAAGCAGGTTGAGGTGTTTGGGCCGACCCCGGGGGCTGTAGTGGGTTCTAGAAGGGTGTCACAATGCCGGGGTCCAGAGGGAGAGGGAGGAAAGGGGGGCCACGGGACTATTTCAGCATCAATTCTAGATGCCTCTCTCTGGCCAGCAGCCGTGGGGGACCTTCTGGAAAGTGAGGTACCCCTTGCCTGCATTTCTGACCAGATGTTTTTCCTGGGCTTGGCTGACCCTGGGCCTTGAACTTCAGCACGCGTCTTGGCCTTGCTTCATCCCCTCTGCCAGGATGACCCTCAGCACCTTGTTTTTCTCCTTCTGCTCACCACTCTGGTTTTGACACCCAAATCATGTGTTCCCTTTAGAAATTTACGAGAACAGAGATAAGCAAACAATAACAACAACAAAAACCCCATGGCCCTGAATTCCACACCCCACAGATAGCTCCTCTTAGCAGATCTGAACGTGTCCCTCCAGCCCCACTTTCGGCTGGTGCAGAAGCATATTTCACCTAGCTTTCTTAAGGTATAATTGAAGTGGGCGTATGTTTAAAAACGTAAGTGGATATACGCTGTCTTATGATCAGCATTTTTTTCAGCCCCAAACACCAGGCCTCCCCAACTCTGTTTTGCATTCAGCACAAGCACCCAGAATGAAGATGTGCTTTGGGGTACAGATGCCCCCTGGGTACTGTGCATGGTGTCGTCATCATAAATCCCAGCCTGGCTTCAGGATGCAGGGAAAGGGTATATCTTTGCCAACCATTCATCTTAATCGCTGCTAGCAAGTATTATCCCTAATTATTAATTAGAAAGGTACCATTTATTAAAGGTACCATTTATCAGATACTTATGACTCTCAACTTGGAGGTCAGCTTGTCCCATTTTACAGATGACAGAGGCTAAGTTCATTGCCCAGGGTTACACAGCCGCCACGTAACACATCCTGGGATTTGCGAAGCCGAGCGAGGAGAATGAACGCTCCCATAGCCTTTGGGCTGGAGTGGGATGGTTCCACTCTTCTGCTTTCTGTCTCTGAATTTAGTGACTCCGGGACCTCATACAAGTAGTCACGTGATTTGTTATCTGGTGACTGGACTTAGCATGATGTCCGCGAGGTTTATCTGTGCCCTAGCACGTGAGGCCCAGATGTAAATTTTAAACTGTACTTAAGTTTTGTTCATTTAACCCAAAAAACTCCATGACCCTGTGGTTACTGCCTTGGACAACACAGCTCTGGAAATGTGATGTGGAAACTGGGTTAATATGACTGGTGACCTTGTTTTTTTCTTTTGTTGGTTGGTTGGTTTTTTTAACTAGCATATTCTTGCCATATGTAATGATCACATTCATCATGTGGAATTTGTACTCATCCATAATATGTCTTAATTCCCCCTTTTCCCTCCGTTCCCCATCCCCTCCCTTCTTCCCTTCCTTCCCTACCATTTATAAAGCTTTGTTTCCAGTTTTTCCCTTCCATTCTCTTTTTAAAAACCCCTCCCCCCATCCCCTTTCCCATTTGAACGTGTTCTTCTTCCTAATTCCCAATGTCTGTCCTCCGTTTTGCACCTTATTTTGGTGTCCCGGGGTTTATACCTGTCAAAGAGGACTGAGGACAAGCACCATCCCAATCAGTGGCCCCCGGAGCAGGGTCAGGGGGCTCTCTGGCGTGGCCTTCTACGGAGCAGAGGCTGCCAGGTGGTGAAGCAGGGTGAGGGGTGGAGAAAGTGGAGTCTCCTGTGAGCTGGTATCAAAGGGCCCACTGCTGTGGCCACCCTGTGAATGAACACGACTGAGCTCACGAGCTGCCTCGTGCTAAGTCCTCTAAGACTCCCTCCTGTGGAGATGGCCGGTGGGCAGGGGCAGCTACCAAGGTCCCTGCAGCTGCTCTCACCTGGCGGTGGGGTAGGGTCCAGAGAGCTTTCCAAATGGTACCAGAGGCCATGGGCATTTCTGGGAGGCCACCCCAGCTCCCTCCAAGTGTTTTGTTTTGTACTTTCCCATTGAATCAGGATCAGTATAGAGGTGGCCAGATGCCTGGGCCTCTGACAGAGCCTTGATCTCAATTTCCCCCGGCAGTCATGTGCATCCTTGGGATTTCCTGTGGTCAGCCAGAATAGAAACTCATCTCCTAGAACAGACACCATGGTCTGGATGCCCAGACTCCAGTGCAGCAGCCAAGAACAAGGGCTTTGTTCTCGCCAGATCGGCGTTTGGGTCCAGACTCCATCACTTACTGGTTGTGTAACATGGAACGAGTCCTTTAATTCCCTTAAGCTTCCAATTCATTGTCTGCAAAAGGGAATTTGGGGCTTATTAGGATGAATTTAGGCAACACAAGTCCCCTGTCATAACTCTCAGTAAATGTTAAAGGACAGTAACTATTATTCTGATTTTTCACTGGCTGACCAGATGATTTCCACATTCCCTTGGAAGGTTGTAGGTAAACGTATCCTTGTGAGCCCAGGCAGACTCTTTGGGAATTTCCCTGAAGTCACGGAGCAGCCCCGGGGGCCCTGGACAAGCTGGGTCAGTCTCCTGCAGAGTGACCGCTTGGCTCTCTCATTTGTTTCAGTGCCAGCAGAAGACCCTTCCTACTCTACGTGGCCCTGGCCCACATGCACGTACCCATATCGGCAACCCCGCTATTGCCAAACCCACGAGGGCAAAGGCCATACCAAGCAGGCCTTCGGGAGATGGACAGTCTGGTGGGTCAGATCAAGGACAAAGTTGACAGCACAGCAAAAGAACACACGTTCATCTGGTTTGCAGGTAAAGTAGTCAGAGCCACGTTTACGAGCTCAACCAGTGGATAAACTTGCACACGCCCCTGTGAAGAGCACAGCCTGACCCGGTGGCCTTCTTTATGGAATGGGTGCTAGCTTTGAACTTGGGCTCGAATGCCGAGTATGTGTCAATTTGGCACTCCAAGGCCGAGCCCCTGGAACGGTTTGTACTGACAGAGCATGCACCTTGCTGGCCCCGTGCATATGATTCAGGCTCCTAGACATCGCTTTTAGTCAAAAGTAAATTACTTTGATGTTGTGAATTTGTGTGTGTGTGTGTGTGTGTGTGTGTGCAATTCTAGGATTTTCTCTTAGCCTTCCTCCCTGGCACCAAAGACATCCATTGCCACTGGTCACTAGGTCATGTCTTTTGGTTGAATGGCCCTGGTATCTGAGCAAGTGACCCCTTTAAAAGGCCCACACGTGCACTCTGTGTCCCGGGTCCCTGTCTGGAACAAGGGCAATGATTCAAAGCACTGGATTTGAATCCATACTGTACTATTGGGAGAATTACACTGATCCTCTAATCCTTAAAAAGTTGAGCTACAGAGCTGGGGATTTAGCTCAGTGGTTCTGTGGCCTGCTTCACAAGTGCAAGGTCCTGAGTTCAATCCCCGGTACCAAAAAAAAGAAAAAGAGTTGAGCTACTGGTAGGCTCTACTCCATAGCATGTTGGAAGATCAGGAGATGTACAAGGTGAATAACAGATGCTCAGTGTATAGTTGCTGGGCTCTAGTTGCTGATGGCGATGGTAATGGAATTGATAAAACAATATAAACAAGGTAAAGGAATGCAAGGGCAGAGGCTCAGGATGGGGCCAATTGGAGCAGGAAAAGCCCTAGTAGGGCCTAATAGACTCAGGCTCATGTCAAGGGAACTTCACAGCTAGGGCTTGTGCTTCCTTTTATAAATATTTATTCAGTACAATCCCCTGCTGTGCACAGGGATATGGGGCCCGAGAGGGTGAGTTGGTGAAAGAGTTCCCCAGGGCGGTGACGATTACATGTTGTTTTCTCTGATTTCTAGGAGACAATGGCCCGTGGGCTCAGAAGTGCGAACTGGCAGGCAGCGTGGGTCCTTTCACTGGATTGTGGCAGACACGTCAAGGTAGAGGGCTCCTCTGGGGCTGGCTGGCAATCCCACTTGCAGGACCTGAGACCTGAGCCCTGGCTGGGTCATGGGATTTGCCTCCAGAAAGGCTAAGGCATATCCTAGCATTTAGGGCATCGTTGTGAACCGGTGCATGGTGGCTCCTTCTTTGGGGAAGAAGAAACAAGTGGGAGGGGTTTTCTCCCCACTAGATCGAAACCTCCCACAGCTGCTTCAGGCTCTCTTTAAACCTTTAGCCTTCAGGCAGCTCCCATCTGCTCTGGGGAAGTTCCCCAGAAGAAGCTCACTTTCTGGAGAGCAGCCATCCCGGGGACAATATGGCAGATGGCTCAAAGGCCTGAAAACCATGCATACCTCTTGATGAACCCATTCCTCCTACAAGCATCTGTCTTATAATGAAGAAATAATGAGCCAAGTGCACTGTGATGTATATAAATGAATGTTCACGGCACTAGACTTTTTTTTTTTTTTTGGTACCAGGGATCAAATTCAGGTCCTTGCGCTTGCAAGGCAGGCAGCGGAACCACTGAGCTAAATCCCCAGGCCTTGTTTTTGTTATTTTGAAACAACTATCCAGAAAGAGGGGAGTGCTAAAAGAAATTATAATGTATCCATTTAAAGAAATACCAAAGAATCAATAAATGCTGTACATTTACTAACTTGGAAACATTTATGTTAAATACTTTTCCATGAATGAAGTGAGTCACAAAATAGTATGTGAGGTATAATTTTATTGCATTAAAGTAAGCTTATGTATTCTCAGAAAAATCTTGATCGAGGTAGCAAAATGTACAGAAGATTAGCAATAATTACTTCTGGGGGGGACATGGAGGGCTTAATTGTGATTTTTTTTTTAACCCATACAACAGGTATTGTTTCATAAAAGTTAAAATAAGGACTTGGAGTGGCTCAGTGGTAGAGTGCTTGGCTAGCATGTGTGATACCCTGGGTTCATTCCCAGCACTGAAAAAAATAAAGAAAATAAAGATTAATTTAGAGAATGCTTTTGTCCAACAGATTCAGACAATAACTTGACATGATTGCCCTCACCAAAGCATGACTGCTTTAAATTTAAAACTTTAAATCTGGGGCTAGGTTTCCTCTGCCACCCAGCCTGCTGTTGAGGCATGGCCCCCAGCTGTACCCAGGTGGAAGAGACCCTGCATTTCACTATTAGTCTGGCCGGCTATTCATAATTACCAAGACGCAGAAGCTTTTGTGCCCCATGAGGAAAAGCTGATCATTTTTTTCTTTTCAGCTTCAGTCTGATCTCCCTTGGATCAGATCCCTTGGAAACTTTACAAGTGAGCGACTGTCAGACTTGGCCATGTCTTGTGTCTGAAAATTTGAGTCAGGGGTCAGGAGAACTAAACCTTTTCTCTTACCTGTAGTGCACTGGACCATTGTATGTCTTGGGGTGCTGGTGTTTCTCTCTTTCTATATCGATGCCTGTGGTTCCTTCCAGTTCAAGAATGCTATGTCCCATTTAGGATCAGCATTTAGTTCTGATGCCTAGAGAGAGCTGGGTCGGGAGAGGATGCTGGGAAGGATGGAGGTGGATGGAGAGTCATCTGATGCTTTCATAGAGGCACAGCTGGGAAGAATACAGTGTAACTGGGAGTGGTTTGTTGTGTGAGCTGGTTATAATTCCTTCTTTCTTTGCCTGGGACACTGTTGGGCCAGACTGTCATCGTCAGTGCTCTATTACAAAGCCTGGAAGACTCTAGAGTCAGAATCCTCCAGGTTAATAGTCTAGAGGTGTGAGGACTAAGGATATGGTGATAAAGATCTGTAAGTGGCTTCTTCATGGGACACTCTTGATTTCCTAGGAAGATTATTTGCTGATCTCTTGTCAGAGGACCAGCTTCTTTGTCTCTTTCCTCCTTATGAGGCAGTTTTGGCTTCGGTTCTAGGATGTGGACTAGGGCCCATTCTTCAAAGGGAAAAACTTCATGTAGTAAGACATACATGTCCTACCTTGGCAGCCTGTATCTCTCACTCCCTTCTTTCTTCTTATAAGCATTTGTTGAGCCCCTGTTGTTTACTGATCTTCTATACTAATCAGATTTCCCATTAATGGAGGAGAGGTTTAATTTGGCTCATGGTTTCAGGGGAATTTAGTATATGGCCTGAAGACTCTAAGGCAGGAATATCATGGTGGAAGGATGTGGTGAAGCAAGGCTGCTTAGCTTATGGCAGCCAAGAAGCAAAAGAGGAGAGCAGCACTAGAGAGGAAAGAGTGAAGGGCCAGTGACCCCAAGGTCACTCCTCCATGACCCACCCAGACACACCCAGAATGTGCTCCATCAATCCCTGCAGTATCTCTCAAGCCAATCAAGCTGACACAATCATGCCTAAGTGTCACATCCCACCCCTTTTCAACTTGACACTCAAACGGATCTCTTTAAATCATACCTAATCCCCAAATAAACAGTCATTCCACCTAACACAATACAACTATCTTGCATACAAGTGATAGCACAATAATCCTGTCACTAAAGTTGAAATCATTTCTGCCATTTTAATAGATCCAAGTTAATGTCTCTTCTGAGACTCAAGGCAAACTCTTACCTGTGAATCCTACAAAGGGAAAACCAAGATACACAATCCCAAGGTACGGTGGCACAGGGTAACCATTCCCATTCTAAAAGGGAGGAATAGGAGGTAGAAAAGAATTGGACCAAAACAAGATGAAAGCCCAGCAGGGTAGATATTAAGTGTTGTAGCTCCATGTCTGGAGGCACATGGTAATGAGATGTGAGTTCCAGAGGGGGTTAGGTGGCTTATCTAACCTCTCTCTTGGGCTGGCTCCATTGACAGCCTGTAGATTCTGTCAGCAGTCATTCCACATTCCTGGAATTTCCAAACAGGTGGGTTCTCTACATACTTATGACTTCATTACCATAGCTTCATGCACTGCTCTCTTAAGGCTCCTTGCCTGGCCTCCCAGGCCCTCCTTGCAGTGTATGTGGAAGCCTCCCAGATCCCACAGCTTTTGCATTCTTCATGCCAGTAAAACTAGCATCACATACATAATGCCAAAGTCTGCTTTCAGCAGGAGCAGTAGCAAGGCCTTCTGCGACCATGGTTGCAGTGGTCCTTCAGTGAGTGGATTTCTGAGCATTGTGAAATTAATCCTGGGGAGCCCATTCCCTAGGAGGTACTTTTTGAGCAGGAGTCCCAAGGACTCTCTTCTCAGTGAAAGATTTATACTTTTGCACCCTGGAGCCTGTGATAGGTGAATTGCTGATTTCTCAGATGCCCTCAAGGTATGTTTCTTCTTGTTCCTGTGCAGAGTACTTGGTTTCTTTTTAATGGGGCTAATCTCTTCAGCAATCACTGACCTGAATTTTACATGTGGTTCCTTTGCGCCCAACATTTAAATTTTACAAATTTTTCTTTTCTGCTTTTTGCTCCTGATTCTTACTATAAATCTGGCTAAAAGCAGTCAGAAATACCCATGCCATAACCCGAATATTGAACTATTTTGAAATTTTATCTACCCACTCAATTAGTTCACTGCACTTAATCTCAGGCTCCCACAGAATTTCAGGACATGGGCAAAGTTAATCCAAATTTCTACCACAGAATAACACACATGGCCTCTAATCCTGTTTCAGTGGAGTTCTCATTTAAAACCTTGTGAGCCTGGCCTTTGCTGTCTACATTTCTATCAGCATTCTGATCTTCTGAGCTCTGACCATAATCACCCATAAGGATCTGTTCACTGCACTCTAAGGCTTCTCTGGTTCGCAGCTGCACTCTAAGGCTTCTCTGGTTCGCAGCTCCATACCTTTCCAAACTCCTTTTGTAAATGCTAACTACAAACCTTCCAAAGGCCTCTAAACTACATGCTCAGAGAAAATCACAGGAAAGACCCCACTTCTATGGTACCAATTTTCTGTATTAGTCAGCTTTCCCATTGTTGGGATACAATACCTAATAACTTAAAAGAGGAGGGTTTATTTGACTTATGGTTCTGGGGATTCACTCCATGGTCAGCTGGCTCCAAGGCAGAAACACTGTGATGGAACAATGCTTAGTTTATGGTGGCTGGGAAACAGAGCATGGGAGCAGCTCCACAGAAGGAGGCAAGGGACCAGATATAGTACCAAAGGTTACTCTTCTGTGATTCCCACCAGACATACCCAGAAGGCACTCTACCAGTCACCTGGGTGTCTCCCAAGGCATTCTGTTTGACACAAATTTAACCTTTACATCTTCCTACTGTAAGCACCTGCTATGTACCAGCAAATATGCTCAGTGCTGGAGATCCAAAGATTAGTGAAGCCCCTGACCTAAGTGAACAATTACCTAAAAAGTATTTCTCAGACTTTTATGTATTAATAGCCCCCTGGAGATCTTGCCAAAGGGCAGTTGTGACCCAAGATGTCTGGGTTAGCATTGGAAATTATGCACTTCTGTGACACTTCTAGATCAATGGTGGTGAATCTATGGCACATGTGCCACAATGGGCTGTTTATCATCATTAAAAGCTCTAAAAGTTTTGCCATTATTGTTTTAGGTGATGTGGACATGGCTTGTCTACAGAATATATTTTGAGAATCACCACTCTATATCATCAGGTCTGTACCATATGAGTCTAGAGGCATCTGAGTCTAGAACTTTCAGCTACAGATCCGTGATTATCAAAGCATGATCCGTAAACCAGCATGGTTAGTATGACCCAAGAACTTGTTAGTAATACAAATTCTTCCATGGAGCAAACTGTTTTAACAAGTCCTCTGGGTGATGTTGATACAGTTTCTAGTTTGACAATACCTATCTAGAGTGAAACTTTCAACATGCCACCCACCACATATGCCTATTTAAATTAAAATTAATGCAAATTAAATTGAAGTTCAAGTTCTTGGCCATACTAGCCACATCTCAGGGGCTTAGTAGCCGTATATGGCTAGTTACTTTCCTTTGGTGCTTTTATGCTTTTAACTTTTGAAGAATGAGTAGAAGAAAGCTGGGATTTTGTATGGAGGGGA